AATATGTATGACTGAGGCTTATTAACTCAAATAGAAATTTTAGAGGTAAAAGTGTCGTAAGAACTTTTGCAAACTTAGAAAATTATCTTTGGGCTTGAGCAATTTATCCGAGATCAAGTTTCAATGGCTCACAAAAATTTAACAAATAAGTAAAAACTCTTCACAAAAGCCATGAAAATTCGCCAAAACTTTTACAGCTTAAAAAGTTTTCGATGAAAATTGTGAGCGAATCGGGAGTAAAGCAAAGTCTTTGATTGCTTTCGTGTTTTATAACACGAATTCACGAACCGCGTAGCCAGTTGCTGCAAAACAAGCTCTTAGGAGCTGTAGGTGAAGCGCATAAACTATACGGTTGTTTCATTGCGGACTACAGAGACACAGTTCCCTTCCTACTAAGCCCCTGATCCTTTAAATTGGTTGCATTATCGCTACTGATGGAGCCACCTCAGCTTTTTCCAGGGAATTCTATGGCCCGGGTCTAGTTCTATCTAACGCTGGGCAGAAAAGCTCTTAATAATTTACCCATTGATGCCGCTTTTCTGCCAATGTCCAGAAGTTCTGATGAATGCTATCAAGGTAGTGCAAACATTACAGCTCTAGATAGATAAAGAGAGAGTTATTTATTAGCTAACTTACTTCCGACAGCCATGCTATGTGTAGCTTAAATACAAATTGATTATGGCAAGATAGTTTTGTAATGGATTTCGTAGGTTTGAACTCTCAGTTGAATGCGATGCTTTTGGTTTGTTTATAGCAGATAGTGAGTTGCTACTTGAAATTCCCTTTTTTCCGTTCTAAAAGCGTGTGCAAATTCCCATAATTGAAAGCTGCACTAGGCAGCAAACTTCGACGACAATTACCCAAAAAGGGTTGAAGGAAAGCTTTTTGAATTAATAAACCATATGATTTGGCTTAAATACAGAAAAGCAATTTTGATTTTTGACTGTATGTAGATATTTACAGGTAAGGAATTGATTAGCACCTGATCATTTCTTGTCGGAAATGGGCAATCTCTGTAAAAATGTGAACGAGTTCACAATATAGACTGGAAAAAATGTAACGCTATACTGAGTCCACCTTTATGAGAAGCTTACTTTAACGCCGTGATAATGTTTCTTGTTCTGAGTACGGAAAAAATGGCCTTTCGTACTTGTTAATGCTACTCGTTAGCCAAAAGTATAAGTAAATTAAGGTGAAAT